GAGGGAACTTTCACAAATATTCTTTAAGCATCAATATTAACTTAGTCTATATGTATATTCTTCAGGATGTAGGTATGGTGAATGTCAACAAAATCGTCTAGTAAAAGTCTTTTTATTGTTATAACTTTCTCGTAAAAATCATGAGAAAGATATTATTTTCATAGGGAGAGGCTTGCAATTTTCTTTAAACCACTTCGATTAAATTTGTCCTCTGCCTTTCAAAGACTCATTCATATTTCCTAACGTATGGTTCCTACGAAAATTCTTTCACACGCATAGAATGTTGATACATGTTTATTAAAATTTTTTCGTTGAAAATATATCAGAGAAATAAATCATTTATTTAATAACTACAATGATTGAATTATTTCAAACCACCTTATGTGAGATAATATTATAGGAAGAATTTCATTTGGCAGATTTTGTAATGTATATCAATTTAATTATCTGAAAAGCAAATTGTTTTCAAAATGAAAATTGTCATTATAACAACATTTACGATTGATGAGAAATACAATATATGGTTCATGAATTTATTCGTTATTATTATTATTACTCATATATCTTTTATAAAATTAAATATTTGATCTACAGATAATTTTATTTCTAAAAACGATATTATGAAACACCTGAACATTCACATCAGATAGAAATACAGAACATACCAAAAATAGTGTGATGATAAATATGAATAAAACTAATATAAACTATTGCTCAATCACTTAAAATCTATTCATTTTCAAATAACAATCATAGAATTTTTAGAAAAGTAAATACTATGAAAATCAAAGAAAGTTTTTTTATCTTTCGAATAATTTGTATAAGAGAGAAACATCATCAGAAAACCATGAAAACATTCATATAATGGTCTATTACTATGATGAAATATTAGATTGACAAATTTATTTTTATTTAGATTTGTTTTTTTTCATTTCTCAAGTTCATATTTATAAAAACTTTCTTATGATTGTTTCTTTTCATGATTCAATAGACATAAACAAATAACCAATACAATGAGATGAGAATCAATTATTCACTTAATTCCGGTAGCAAGTGATGCGCTGTTCAAATAAAAAGAAAAAAATTTCACAGAACAATTACGAACACGGCATCTCTATTGTCTTTACACCTAACATTAAATTAAGTTCAAAAGAAAGTAAAACGTGTAAAGACGATAGTGGTTATAGTATCTAAACTTAATTCACTGTTTTGCTCTATATTTTGATATGAATTCGTGAGATATTGAAGCATGTACCTCAGTATTCGTTTTTTTCTTCATAATATCCACAATCATAAAATGAACAAATCTAATATTGAATAATATTATTAACATTGAAAATAATTTTGAAAGTTTCATATTCATAATATTTCTTTGAATTAGTCAATATAATCTAATATATATATAAAGAATCACTTATACAGATCATTTATTGTTTGTTATATATATATATCTAAATGTTTTAAATATGTCAATATCTCATGTATTTTTACAATGAAAAAGTCACATTTTGTAAAAAAAAATAATAAAAGTCAATCTTCTAGATTTTGATAAATTTCCAAACTCTAAACATTAACATTTACAATGACAGTGACGTTAATACATTTAATGAATCGGTTTTTGTAATCAAACCAGAAGTTTCCATTAGTGGGAACTCAAATGAATGAATTAACTTCTCTTGGATCCTTAGATCAATATGAACCATATGAAAAATTACCTTTCGATTTAGTGATCAATTTTTAACTCGAAATATTATCAATATTAAGTTTCGAAACAAATGTACAAAGTACACTTTAAAAAAATCACTTTCCATTTGTTCCTGCAAGAAATTATTTACTGAGTTTGTTTATGTACGTGAAACGAAGAGTTTCTTAAAATCTTTATGAAACAGAAAAAACAGACAATCATTCATGATTATTTTCGATAATATTATCAAAGAAATTATAAAATATAGTCAATGCATTGGTCTAAAATACTCTTTACATCGGGCAAGGTTTTCAAAGTGACGATACGAGCTGAGTATGTCCGGTGTTATTTTAAATTGTTGAGTACTATTGGCACTAGGTCATAACGGAGTCAGATTTTTTAATTTATCTCCTTTTGATTTTGAAAAAAACTTTTTCGAAAAATTCTCAAATCTGTGTTCACAAAAATTGGTAAAGAAAAACAAAGATCTAAGTTTTTTATTTCAGTAAAAGTGAAATTCAAAAATCGGGCTCTATTATTACATAGCCCTAATTGTCTCCTATATAACGAAAAAAAATAATCATTTTTATATTAAGTCATTACTAAGAAAGATGTGCTCACGCAAACGGTACTATCAAAAAAACTTATTTTGAGAAAAAAGCTAAATAGGTTTTAGAAATCGATCTTTATGAATCACACCTGTATTATATGTGATCTCGATATTAAGTATTAATAGTCTCGTAATGATTAATATAAAAAAAACCCTGAAAATTTCTCAAAAAATATGACAGTAGGAGACAAGTTTAAGATGATAAGTTCGTCAAAATCAATTCATTTTGTGATAAGCCATAAACGTCTAAGGGATAGCTCCCTTAATGATCTGACAGAAGTTATAAATAAATTTGTTAATGAGTCTAAATTTATTTTAATATCTAAATCACATTGATGATATTTATACTTTGTATGAAAAAAGAATATTTAAGTTTTTACATGAAAATATATATAAAAGCAAAATTAGATAGATTTTTTGTTAAGACAAATAGTCAAAGGCGAATAATCTTTTAATTCGCTGGTACTGTTAAAGTATAAACCCTAGCTTAGATAGAGACTGTACTAGAACATCGCATAAGTCATTTTTCATTATATTATTGATTTAGAAGTTCTTTCTTATCCAAAACAGTATCCATGAAGAGAAAGTGAAAAATAGATACAGTAGTGAATTCTAGGTTTTATGATGCATAGTGTTTATAAAGTTTTTTATTTTCGTACTAAAATTAGTAATATCATAAATCCAAGTGAAATATTTGTAAATAGTAATTTAGTTTTGAAATAGAACAATCATTGATTGTAGTATCTATTTCAGATTGATGACCATATTAACTATTGATGTTTATTTATTTCAATAAAAATTTGTCAATCGATTCATATTAATTCTAAACATCAAAATAACTTTGAATTCTCCAATGGATAGATGCAAAAAATAACACATTTAATGTTTTAATATGTTGAATTCCTTCTAATTCCATATGAACAGATTTAAATCGATTATTTATTGATGTTGGTGATTGAAAAACAATATTCTATCATAATGTTGAGATTTATCATTATTAGTTATATTTAAATTTAATTCAGGTTCAAATGTATATGTTTTTTCAGGTCGTTGATCTGTCATTTGTCATTAATCATCAATGTTGTAAAAGAATAACATCAGATTTTTCTCTAATATTGACAAATTAAATTTTATCTATTGTACGTACCGAAGTAAAATTTTCATCATAGTTTATGTTCATTGTTCAATTAAATCATTTAATTCAATTTCATCACAATATGCTAATTTGAATTTTTCCAATTTTGTCTCAAAAAAAAAACAAATTTGATTGAGTATGTTCCTTAGCTTCATCAGTACCACTTGCTTTAGTGAATGTCATGTTAATTTTTGACAAGGAACTATCATTATTATGATTAGATTATTTTTCATCTTCATGTTCATCATCGATTATTTGAGAATTATCTAATAAAATCAACATCGTACTTCTTCGTCTTACACAATAAAGAACGAAGTCACTATTGATAACATATATATCGCAATACTTTTTCAATAACCTTGAGTGAAGATTAGTTTTATTTTTTTTTGGACTAAAATATATATGCCAATATTGATATTGAACGAATATTTATACAAATCAGTATGAAAAATAGCGATAAAAAAAATATTAACTGAACTATCTATGAGGTCAATGTTATGTACATATCTTTTATTAATCTCTTTTCTATTTTATATCATTAACTTTTTGTCGTACTCCATAGACCAAAAAGTGAATAATTATAAAACATAGTTCCTCTAATGATTACAAATATTAATTTCAGTTATAATCCATACAATAGTTTTATGTAATAGAGTGAGATTCTTTTTTTTTATCTAGAATAAAACTAAAATCTATATCGAATTCTACAATTTTCTGTTACATCTCGAACAAGATGGTGTACAAAAAAAAATGCTATCTTTTTTTCTTATGAAGTATTTTTAAAATTAAACATTGATATTCATCTCCACATTGTACGTATCAGAAAAAAAAAACATTCAACCAGTTTTTATTTCATATATAAGAGAATTAAAATTTCAAATAATATATTGATGTTTGATATCTTTTTTTTTCTTTACTTTCATTCAATCATCACTTAGTTGACTGCATATTGAGCGGACAACATATAAGTTGTTCTCACACATTCAAGATCAAAAAACTTAAACAAAATGAATATGAAATGTTTAAAAACGAAAAAAATATCGTGTACTCATGTCTTCACGTACGTGTAAAACACCGGTTGTTTTCGTATGCTGCGTAATTTCAATTCCGTTACGTCGACGTCGTCTTTCATTCGCGTCTTTCCGTTTTTGTATCTTTTTCTTCTTTTCTTTTCTGCTTCTTCTCGTTCTTCGTAATAGAAGAACGAAACATTTATAAACAACGGAGCTTTCGGGGGTGGCTCAAAACAAAATGAACCTACCCAGGGATATCCAACGTTCTGTTGGTGACCCCTGCGGGCGTGCATATGGTAGGCCTTCATAGCATACATTTAACGTATGTATAACTAGCAGCTTCCATCTTGTCATCGTTTTCTCGAAGACGTTGACTATGGAAGTACTAGTCATACATACATTAAATATATGTTTGCCTAATCATTGCCGGCTTTGTCCACTGTACAAGCCAACAGAATACAGAGGGTATCCCTGGTCGCGTGTGCACGAGATTTTGCGATTCGGCGAGCCTTATGTTCAAGAACGGCAATTTATTTTCTCTTTTGAAAAGAAAAAAAATTACATTTTCTTTTTCACACCTGCAATGTTATTTTTCACAAGTGCAATATGTGGATGATTTGAAGGTAGTGATTTTTTCCAGATTTCCTGAGCTTTTTCATAATATTGAAGTGCTTTCGAGTACTCGCCCATATTATTACACACCACAGCGATGTTATTATAGGAAGAAGCCAAGTCGGGATGATTCGGAGGGACAGCTTTTTTGTCTATTTCAAGGGATCGTTCGTACAATGAAAGTGCTTTCGAGTACTCACCCATGTTATCATACACCGAACCGATGTTGCTGTAGGATTGAGCAAAGTCGGGATGATTCGGAGTGAGAGCTATTTTTCGGATTTCAAGCGATCGTCCATACGATGAAAGTGCTTTCGAGTACTCGCCCATTTCGTCATACACCATACCGATGTTGTTGTAGGAAGTAGCCAAGTCGGGATGATTCGGAGGGAGAGCTATTTTTCGGATTTCAAGTGATCGTTCGTACGATGAAAGTGCTTTTGAGTACTCCCCCATGTTATCATACACCAAACCGATGTTGTTGTAGGAAGCAGCCAGATTGGGATGATTCGGAGGGAGAGCTATTTTCTTGATTTCGAGTGATCGTTCGTATGATGAAAGTGCTTTCGAATACTCGCCCGTGTTACAATACACATTACCGATGTTGTTGTAGGATTGAGCAAAGTCGGGATGATTCGGAGGGAGAGCTATTTTTCGGATTTTAAGTGATCGTTCGTGCGATGAAAGTGCTTTTGAGTACTCGCCCATGCTTCTATACACCTCTCCGATGTTGTTGTAGGAAACAGCCAAGTCGTGATGGTTCGGAGGGAGAGCTATTTTCATGATTTCAAGTGATTGTTCGTACGATGAAAGTGCTTTCGAGTACTCGCCCATGCTATCATACACCGAACCAATGCCGTTGTAGGAAGCAGCCAAGTCGGGAAGATTTTGAGGAGTGGTGTTTTCTCTGGTTTTGAGTGATTTTTCGTAAAATATAATTGCTTTTGCGTATTCGCCCATATCACTATACAACCAACCAAGGTAATGATTGTAAGCTGATTTTTGGTTATCAGAAGACGCCGTTTTGAGGAGAGTCTTATAAAGTTGTTCTGCTTTCGCAGGCTCACCCAACTTAATAAGTATATGGCCTAGCCGAGACCATCCTTTTGTTCCGTTATTCTCCTGGCGTAAATGTGAGGTAAGTGCGTTAAGTTCGTTATCGTCATTGCCCGTAAGGCTGAGATTAACTTGCCATAGCCGATCTGTGTCATTTTCCTCGATACGCTTTATTTGATTGATGCGAAAGATCGTATGTGTCGTGAAAAGTACTTCTTCTTCTTGATTGTCGTAGTAACCGACCCCTTTCACATCGACATAGGGAATTTTCGATTGTACGCATACCATTGGATCAATATTCATAACGAAGAGTATGGCGACAGAATTAGTATTGCTGAGTGACTGACATGCAAAGCCAAGTGAAATGTCTCGTTGACGACTGGTTGAAAGGAAGTTATTGAAGGACATAAGTCCTCCTTTTGTTTGTTTCATTTTGTTGAAGTCTTCCATGGACAAACCTTGTCCACGGAAGACTGTGAGTGGCCTGTTGGTGGGCTCATCGGATTGTTGTTCACCATGTAATTTTTCAATATGTTTGTGTAAATGACGAATAAAAAAACCCATTCTCATTATAATATCAACATTCATAAGTCGAAGACCATGATTGAGCATAGAATAAATAAAGAAGGGACCTGTATACCACCAACTTGGTGGATGATGACGATATTCTCGTTCGAGCATTTCCAGTGTGGTTGGAGAAGCAGCATTGTGAAGACGACAATAATCAACCAGTTCTTTAATAGATGTCACATCATCATCTTCAATTTCCAAAAATGCTTCTTTAAGCAATTGTGTATACATAAACAAAGGATCGATGCCACGAAAACTCATCGAGATCATAGATCGATCACAATGTTTACGGTCGATTTGTAATGCTTTACAAATTGGCTGAACTTGTGTGTAAATACCTTTTACCTTAGGTATTATCTTTGCCCATTGCTCATGCATTGATTGATTGTCACAAAAAACATATACGGAGTCCAATTGTGGACATGCTTGAATCTCTGGTATTACGTGTTGTCCCAGTGAACCAGATACGATCATCAACACTTTTTCATCTTTAATGTCACTAAGATAATCAACACATTGATCAGCATCTGTAAATGTAGTAATTGTTGCTATGACATTTCGAAGCTGTTGTATTGATTGTTTATAATCATTTTTCGATTCATCGAAATCGGCATCAAGCCAGATCAAAAGGCAATTTTCCAGAATCGGCCGCATACGTTCGGGCGATACAGCACTACTATTGATGGTGGCCATCGCTGTTCGCCCACTAGCAGTAGTTTTTGAGGATTTCTCTGTATTTATAATCGATATATATGAATCAATGAATGAACGCAAAAGTGAAACGTCGTCTTCCTCTGTTTTTATAATTGTTTAACCTCTTATTTCGATACTTTTTTTTTCTGGCTTGTTGCTATAGACTTCAAGGGCTTGAGATCTTGATCGTTCGTTTTTTTTCAAGAGTATTGTTGACGAAATGACGATGACGAATGGTTCAAACCTCTGTGCATTAAGCAAGCAGCAAGGAAGAACAAGAACGAAAAGGATAAACAATAAATGCATTAGACTCATCCATAGAAAAGAAAAAAATGAAAACTCATAAATAGAATTTTAATAATGTTGTTCTCTGTTTGTCTTTTGTTGTTTGTTTAGTTGTCAAGTTTTTTTCCAATATTGCATTAAGTAAGGTATTATGTGTGTGTGCATGTGCATCTAGACATGTAGGAAGAGAAGAACGGTAAGAAGACCGAACGAAAAACACACGTGTTTTGTTCGTTTGATTCGTTGCAATCAAACAAAATTCAAAATCGAAATACACGATAGAAAAAAAAATATTCATGATTATTTTTTACTAATTTTATCGTAGAATCCCATCACCGGGTGTGGGTTTTCTCTTCATGTACACACTTCCCGCCCACACCCATCCAACCCCAAAAAAATGATAATAATTTTCTTTGGTTTTTAAAAGAAATTTAAATAGTGGTTCATTTGAAGCAGGTATTATTAAAGCTGTTTTATGTTCGAGCGGTTTTACATGTTAAGTTCTCGCTCAGGAAGGGCCACATGATACAACTTATCTAATTAATTTTTCTCAATCGTTAATGGAACATGAAAGTTAATTTGATAGTAAATGAATGCAAAATTTATTAAATTAAATTAAATTAAATATTTTTTTTAAATGAAATTTAGAATTTTTGTTCATTTCTTACAGATGTATAATAAAAGGTAGATAAGAATAAATAAACAATGGCAACAACAGCAGTGATAACTTCAACTTTTATGGAAGATAAGAAAAAAAACTTCATCAGCAAATAAACACAATCGATCAACTGTTGTTCGTACACTTAAAGTAAATGATTAGGTAATTATTGAAAATTATTTTATTTATATTCTATTTTTAGCATAATCCAAAATATGAATTAAAAAAAGATGAACTTAGACAATTAGTATGACGTTTTGATGCTGAACTTCAAGCTAAAGAAATTGCATTGCCCAGGTCAAAGATGTACGGCAGGAAACGATAGGATCCTGCGTAATTCCGGCCATTTCATGGAAGCAGTATTCCAAAATCCGATCCGGCTTCCGGATCCTGCTTAGTTCCCGCTAATTCCTGCACCAGGATGCAATGTTCGGATACGGTTGTCGTTTCCGGTCCGGTTCCTGACCAAGTTTCCGGTTTTATAGCACGCTAACCGGATCCGAGCTGTATACCTGCCGTTTCCAGCACGGTTCCGAACAAAGGTTCCGGTGTTTCTTCCCAACCGCCGGATCCCGGTTATAAAGCACCCATTTCCGTTCCATTTACAAAGCCCACATCCGGTCGTATTAAAGATCTGTGAAAGATATTTCGAAGATCTTTCAAAGACTATCAAAGAATTTCAAAGACTTTCAAACATCTTTCAAAGATTTTCAAAGATATTTCAAAAATCCTTCTAAGATCTTTCGAAGGCCTTTCCAAGAACTTTAAAAGACTATCAAACACTTTGAAAGATCTCTGAAAAAGCTTTCAAAAATCTTTGAAAGATCTTTCTAAGACTTTCAAAGACTTTAGAAGACTTTGAAAAAATGCTTCAAAGATCTTTCAAAGGCTTTCGAAGACTTTGAAAGACCTTTCAAAGACTTTAGAAGACTTTGAAAAAAGGCTTCAACGATCTTTCAAAGGTCTTTCTAAGACTTTCAAAGATCTTTCAAACGTCTTTCTAAGACTCTCAAAGATCTTTGAAAGACTTTCCAAGGCCTTTCAAAGACTTTAGAAGACTTTGTAAAAATGCTTCAAAGATCTTTCAAAGGCTTTCGAACACTTTGAAAGACCTTTCAAAGACTTTGAAAAAATGCTTCAAAGATCTATCAAACGTCTTTCCAAGACTTTCTAAGACCTTTCAAAGACTTTAGAAGACTTTCAAAATTCTTCAACGATCTTTCAAAGGTCTTTCTAAGACTTTCAAAGATCTTTCAAAGGTCTTTCTAAGACTCTCAAAGATCTTTCTAAGACTTTTCAAGACCTTTCAAAGACTTTAGAAGACTTTGAAAAAATGCTCCAAACATCTTTCAAAGATCTTCCTAAGACCTTTAAAAGACTTTACAAGACTTTAAAAAAATGCTTCAAAGATCTTTCGAAACTTTCAAAGGTCTTTCCAAGACTTTCTAAGACCTTTCAAAGACTTTAGAAGACTTTGAAAATTCTTCCACGATCTTTCAAAGGTCTTTCTAAGACTTTCAAAGATCTTTCAAAGG